ATTTCTCTACAGCCCGTCTATATTCCATGCAACCGGTAATACGTATATAAACAAAATGATACATATACTATCAAACATTCCACAATCTGCATCCATATACAAAAAATAAATAACTTTAAATGTCAAATTCCATACAAACCAGTTATTGTCCAAACTAAAATAATAATTCCATACAAAATATAGAATCATACAAAAATCAAAGCCTTCTGTATACAAAAAATACGTTTACTACCAAGCGAAATTACCATTTGGCATGGTATAAATTACCATCATAATCTGTACCACGACAAAAGGTGATATATGTACCATGACAAAAGTTTTTCTATAGACCATGACAAAAGGTCATATATGTATGCTGACAAATGGTCATATATGTACCACGATAGAAGGTGATCTATGTACCACGACAAAAGTTTTTCTATAGACCATGATAAAAGGTTATATATGTCCGCCGACAAATGATCACATATGTACCACGATAGAAGGTGATCTATGTAGCATGACAGTCATTATCTGTTGATTGCCAAAAGTTTTATGTATCAGTAATAGTGAACTACACAAAAGCTGAGGATGACAAAAGTATTATATTAGTTCTATACAAAAGTGAAATTTCTTCTCCATACACCAAAAGGGATTATCCACAAGTCCACGCAACAAAGCCATCTACAAAAAAAAATAAATAAATAATAAAACATTAGAATTGGTTACAAAATATCAATTTAGTCAACCATAGAGAACATGTTCTAATATGCATTTAAAGTAGAACAATCGAGAAATGTCTTCTTAGAAATAAAAGCATATATATATGTATCATGCAATATTTATTCCAACCAACTGCACAATCAATCTAATATGTAATTCCTTCATATTATAAATATATAAAGGCAATTATTAGAATATGTGGATGTTATTTTCATAAAGTTGTCACTCTTTAAACTAAGTGTTACGAGTTTTTCAACTAAGTGTAAGGCGTTTTCGGCTCAAACTCCAAGCCTACAAGTCCTAATTACATTTTATCAGTTGTCACAGGTCATAATTATCATGGGGAAGCTGTTCGTGAGAGCCACATGGTGGTTCGGGGCCTGTTTTGAATTTTCGCCGCCGACACGCCCTTTTTCAAGTAAGTTTAAGGCGTGTTCGGCTCTAACTCCTAATCTATAGGTCCGGATTACATTCTGTCAGTTGTCACAAGTCCTATTTGTCATAAAGAAGCTGTCCATGAGAGCCACACGGTGGTTCCGAGGCTGTTTTGAATTTTTGCCCCGAGACGCCATTTTTCGAGAAAGTTTAAGGCGTATTCGGCTCTAACTTCCAACCTACGGGTCTGGATTACATTCCATCAATTCTCACAAGTCCTATTTGTCATGGGGAAACTATCCATGAGAACCACACGGTGGTTCAGGGGCTGAATGAATTTTCGCCCTGGAAAGCCATTTTTCGACTAAGTTTAGGGCGTATTCGACTCTAACTCCCAACCTACGGGTCCGAATTACATTCTGTCAGTTGTCACAAGTCCTATTTGTCATGGAGAAACTGCCCGTGATAGCCACATAGTGGTTCGGGGGCTGTTTTGAATTTTCGCCCCCGGAACACCATTTTTCGATTAAGTTTAAGGCGTATTTGACTCTAACTCCCAACCTACGGGTCCGAATTACATTCTGTTAGTTATAACAGGTCGTAATTGTTAGGAGGAAGCTGTTCATGAGAGCCACACGGTGGTTTAGGGGCTGTTTTGAATTTTCACCCCTAAAAAGCTCTTTTTCGACTAAGTTTAGGGCATATTCGGCTCTAACGCCCAACCTACGAGTCCGAATGACATTTCATCAGTTGCCACAAGTCCTATTTGTCAAGGGGAAGCTGTCTGTGAGAGCCACACGGTGGTTCGGCGGTTGTTTTGAATTTTTACCCCTGAAACGTCTTTTTTCGACTAAGTTTAAGGCATTTTCGGCTCAAACTTCCAACCTACGGGTCCGGATTACATTCCGTCAGTTGTCACAGGTCATAATTTTCATGGAAAAGCTATCCGTGAGAGCCAAACAGTGGTTCTGGGGCTGTTTTGAATTTTCACCCAGAAACGCCCTTTTTCGACTAAGTTTAAGGCATTTTTGGCTCAAACTCCCAACCTACAGGTCCAGATTACATTCCATCAGTTGTCACAAGGCATATTTGTCATGGGAAAACTATCCGTGAGAGCCACATGAGGGGTCGGGGGCTGTTTTGAATTTTCACCCACGGAACGCCCTTTTTCGACTAAGTTTCAGGCGTTTTCAGCTCAAACTCCCAACCTATGGGTCTGGATTACATTCTGTCAGTTGTCACAGGTCATAATGGTCATGGAGAAGCTATCTGTGAGAGCCACATGGTGGTTTAGGGGCTGTTTTGAATTTTCGCCCTCGGAATGCCCTTTTTCAACTAAGTTTAAGGCGTTTTCGGCTCAAACTCCCAACCTACAGGTCCAGATTACATTTTGTCAGTTTTCACAAGTCCTATTTATCATAGGAAAACTGTCTGTGAGAGCCACACGAGGGGTCGGGGTCTGTTTTGAATTTTCGCTCCTGGAACGCCCTTTTTCAACTAAGTTTAAGGCGTATTTGGCTCTAACTCCCAACCTACAAGTCCAGATTACATTTCGTCAATTGTCACAAGTCCTATTTGTCATGAGGATGCTATTAGTGAGAGCCACACAGTGGTTCAGGGGCTGTTTTAAATTTTCGCCCCCGAAATGCCTTTTTTGAGTAAGTTTAAGTCGTATTTGGCTCTAACTCCAAGTCTACGGGTCCAAATTATATTCCATTAGTGGTCATAGGTCGTAATTTTCATGAAGAAGCTGTTCATGAAAGCCATACGGTAGTTCAGGGGCTGTTTTGAATTTTTTCCCACGAAACGCCCTTTTTCGAGTAAGTTTAAGGCGTATTCGGCTATAACTCCCAACCTATCGGTCCGAATTGCATTTCTTCAGTTGTCACAAGTCGTAATTGTCATGGGGAAGCTGTTTGTGAGAGCCACACAGTGGTTCGGGGGTTGTTTTGCATTTCCGCTCCCTTAACGCCCTTGTTCGTTTAAGTTTAATGTGTTTTTAGCTCTAACTCGCAACCTACACGTGCTAATTACATTCCGTCTATTGTCACAAGTCCTATTTGTCATGGGAAAGGTGGTGGTGACATCTGTACGGTGGTTCGGGAATTTTTTCTCATTTTCGGCCCCTTAACGCCCTTTTTTGGTTAAGTTTAATGCATTTTCAGCTCTAACAACCAAACTACACGTGTGAATTACATTTCATCTATTGTCACAGGTCCTACTTGTCATGGGGAAGCTGACCATGACATCCATACGATGGTTTGGGAGCTATTTTATATTTTTTCCTCTTAACGCCCTTTTTCGGTTAATTTTAAGGCATTTTCGGCTCTAACTTCCAAACTACACATGCAAATTACATTCTGTCTGTTGTCACAGGTCCTATTTCTCACGGGGAAGCTAACCGTGACATCCATACGGTGGTTTGGGGGCTATTTCACATTTTTCCCCCTTAACGCCCTTTTTCGGTTAAGTTTAAGGCGTTTTCGGCTCTAACTTCCAAACTACACGTGCAAACTACATTATGTCTATTGTCACAAGTCCTATTTGTCGCGGGGAAGTTGTCCATGACATCCATACGGTGATTCGGGGGCTGCTTTTCATTTTTGCCTCCCCTCTAAACACCCTTTTTTACTAAGTTTAAGGCGTTTTTCACTCTAACTCCCAACCTACATGTGCTAATTACGTCCAGTCTGTCCTCACAGGTCCTATTTGTCATGAGGAAGCTACACGTAACATCTATACAGTGGTTCGGGGCTTGTTTGGATTTTTTGCCCCCCAGTGGCTCGTGTTTGCCTTTTTTTCTCACATTTTTGTGTACAATTCTTTAATTGTACGTCCTATCGACATGCCTCTTGTTCTCACAAGTTTGTTTAATGTAGGGCGAGGTGCCAGTGATGGTCTTTGGATAGATTGGCAGTTGTTTTGCATTTATGCCCCTCAGGGGCTCGTTTTTTCCTTTTTTTCTCACATTTTTTCTCTAATTCTTTAATTGTGCATCCTATCAATGCACCACTTGCTCTCACAAATTTGTTGAATCTAGAGTGAGATGTTCATGATGGTCTTCAAGTAGATTGGCAGATGTTTTGTATTTTTGCCAACTCAATGGCTCATTTTTGCCTCTTTTTTTTTCTCACATTTTTGTCTCTAATTCTCTAATCGTGCATCCTATCAATGAGCCACTTGCTATTACAAGTTTTTTTAATCTAGGGTGAGGTGCCCGTGATGGTCTCCGGACAATGTGATGGATGTTTTAAATATTTTCCCTAAATTTTAAAGAAACTAAAGATACTTACCTAATAAATGGTGATGGAACAAACTAAAAACAAACAAAGAGGGAACAAACAAAACAACCTATTCACATTAATGTGTTTGGGAAGGGAAAGATTGGGCACACACCTAACATTATTTGATGCTTTGTCTTATAAAAGAAACCTAATAAGAAAAAAAAATTCCAGGTTTCCAAATTTAGTGTTCTTTGCTGCTCAAAACAAAAAAGAAAAAATTAGTGTTCTCGAGGGAAAGTTTTCCATTCCAAAACACAAGTACCAAAATGTGGATTCCTAGAAAAACTTCTATTTTATTTGGTGGAAATACTAGAATTTTGTTTTCTTAAGAAATGGAAATGTTTAGTGTTGGTTTCCCAAGAAATGGAAATGTTTAGGACACTTTGATGGAAAGCTACACCTTGAACCTTGATGGACACCTTGAACCTTGCATACAAGATAGATCAAGTTCAAGATCACATTATAAATGTTTGCAAATTTATATGATGCCACTAGTCTTTGTGTTATGAAAATGAGAATTCATCAATATGTGTTATGAAACTGAAATTTGTAATCAGTAATTTATGACATCAAACAACATACCTAGTATTTTTTTCTATATATGAAAACAACTTCTGCATGGGCCAAAAGCTTGTGGTGCGCAACCAAATATGGCTCTGTCAATGTATGTTCACATCTTCCAAGGGCAAATATTCAATTGGCATCAATAGAGGAAAAATTATTTAGTTAATATATAGATGTTTGGAAACAAGACAATTACTTGATGAAAAACAAGGACAGTACTTACACAACTTGCTTATTCAACCACCCTCTCATTGACTCATGAAGATTTAATGGAAGATCCCAGTGGTATAAAGTTACAAATGGCTGGATGCCTGCAAGATCATAGTTGCCAGTTATTTATTATTGTTGGAAGTTGATGGAAATGAACAACAAATGACTTCATACCCCTTTCGAGAAGAGCATTAATGATGTTGTTGTAGTAAGCAATCCCTTCCTCATTCATTTTTGTACCCAAACCATCTGCAAGCATGGAGAAAACCAAAACAACTGATTCACTACTCTGGTTTAAATCAATTGGTCATCATGAAGCAAAGGAAACATAGAAATGCGCACAATAATGACAACATTATTTCTTCATAATATACAAAAAAACAACAAGGACATATTATTACTTCATATGTTTCGTTAACAAGGACGAATAGGAATTGAGGGAACAAATGGACTAGAATTAAAACATGCATTATAGTAACTTTGCCAAAAGCATAGGGAGGGGAAAGAACATGAATCTTGATGGTGTCATTAACAGTAGCCTTGTTTGTAAGAGAGTGAAAAAGGAGGAGGAGCAAATAGATAGGCATCCATTCATAGAGCATTGTAACTTTGTGCTAAGAAGGCTAAAGGACGACAAAATGCTTGATATTTCAATAGTCAATTAGTCAAATTAGGCCTAAGATGTTAGGCCAAATATCAAATGCTTGATGGCCAATCCAAATCTCAATTACTAAGCCAATTCATAATCAAATCACAAACAATTAACTAGATCTAAAATGGCACCCCTTGGTGCCACCCAAAAGAGTACAGCGGCCCAATTAACAAGCTCTACCCAAACCAGAACCATTATATACAAGAAGAGGTTGGCAAACTTTCATCTGCCAAAGCAATGTATTTGAAAAAATAAAAGTAACACAATAAAAAAAAATCCAGCAAGACCTCAACAATCAAAATGAAAACAATAAGTTAGTGCCTACAAAAAGTATCCAAAGAGCGCACACCTGACATTTGATCCGAAAGGAAAATAAAAAGAAAAATATCTCACCTCTTGTAAGAGATCTACCTCCTTATTGGCCAATGAAAATCTAAATATTTTAAAAGCTTTGAAGTAACATTTAAAAAGGAGATATTACCGAGAAATATACGAGACCATGATATGGAAAAACGATAAGCACCAAATCCCAACTTAGCTAAACGGTCAATATCTTCTTGTATTTATTTTTTAAAAAATTAAAATTAAAATTAGCAATGGGAAGGATTAAAAAAAGGTCACATCTAGAAGAATTAATCAACACACCCAATTACATGCATAAATGACCTTTCTAAATTAAAACAAAACCTTTACAAGAAACAACCATGTAGAAACTAGATCTAGATAGTTAAATTTCAAGTTTCAAAATCATGAAGCATTAAAAAAAACAATTAAAAAAAAATCTAACAACTCATCCTTGAGAAAAATTGGGGGAAAAGTAAAAATTAAATCTATTGTTTCAACCACTTAAGAACAAGCAATATTTAGTAAAAATATGCATGAATTTCATCAATTAACTATTTATAAATGTGATTGGTTGTTGAAGTTACTGCGGCAAAACCTAATAGAGGGAAAACAGTAAAAATGTATTACTGCATTGAACCTCCATTATTCCATTCCAATACAAAGTTTGACTAACACAAAATAAATAAATAAATAAAAAGAAGCCCTAATGACTAAATATAACCAAAGTACAAAACAAAATATGAATAACAAAGGGAAAACGTGTCTTCATATTTACATAATCCAAAACTAAAGGGAGAACAAAACAACATTTATGAAAGTTCCATGCAAAGAGAGGGGGGGGGACAATATAGTAGTATTCACTCCTACCCAAAAGTCTGAACACCGACCTTGTAACGATGATATTGATCCACTGCAATGTCTCCATTACTTCCATCACAAATTTTTTCTATTAGAGCAAGAAAGTTAAAGAGCATAAATTTTAACAAACAAGCTAACTAGTGCCACATTCATGCATACAACGCTCGGAGGTCATTGTAATGGAATAGATGGCGTATGTACGAGTCTGTAGGAAAGCATATCTGTAGTATGAGAAAAAGAATCCCAAAACCTAGGACCTTTACCACCCTCATTCCAGGCCCCTTCAACCTAAATTAACAAAAAGAAAGAGATGAAGTTCAAAGATCTTGAGGTTCGCATAATCTATAGGCTTTATAGGTTAGCTAACTGAAAAGCTATGTAATGTATTAAGCAACTTTCCTCATAACTTTTTTCTTTCTTTCTAGTTATAGTATCCCCTGATCATGGATATGTGGTTTAATGGTTCTTAGTTACCTGTCAAATATGCTTTTCATTGATTAATCTCAACTTATAAGACCTCAATAAAGAACATCATTTTTCCCCTAGCTCATGCAATAATAAATAGATATGAAAATAGAATATAGAGAATTGAAGTTAATTCATTATATTCCAACATGATATTCTTTTTAATACAACATCTCTAGCTATTGATTACACTTAGGCTCTAAACCAACCCAACCATGCATAAAATGTTGGACTAATTGTATTTCTAGCCATTGACTTTCCTCTCCAATTTATATAAATAACATGTTTTCAAACTTATAACGGAATATTGGACTGAAGATATTCACTATTTTTTCAATCATGAATTTTTCTGCACTTATTACTTTGTACTGTCTTTTGCTTACTAAGGTTTAGAATAGTGTTCTACTCTTGCATACTATTGGTATACACAATCAGTTTTTCAACAACACTAGGAATGACATGTTCAGGGGACACACTTAATATAAAAAATTCATCTATGTGAACCCGTATAACCCTAAATCATTTCGTCAAACATCTTGTGAGCAATACATAAGTGATCAACAAAATGAAAAATATAGGGATCCAATCATTTGGGCATAAAACAGAGCAGCTTCCAAACCTAAGGTTGTGAGAAAAGTTGAAGCTATGAAACTGAAATAAACTATATAAACATGAGACACCGTACAGCCAAGGGAGATTGAAACTCTTGCATTGCAACACATTACTTGCAACGTCCAAGGGGAAAAAAAAGGGGAGGGAAATCGCAACAACAACAAAAAAATCAGAAAAGGGGGAAACAGAGGAACAGTGTAAATGAACACGAAATTAAACCCTAAATGAACAATCAAAAAAGGAGGAGACAAAGGATAGGAGAGAGAGAGAGAGAGAGAGAGAGAGACTGTGAGCGAGAGAGAGACACACACAGACAAACCAAGAGCGAGAGAGAGTGAGAGAGAGAGAGAACCTATGATCTGCGGCTGTGGCGATGGTGATTTTCGGCTGTGAGTGGCCATGTCGACGTCCTCCGTACGGTGGGCTACGGTCAAGTGATTTCGTGTGAGGTTTGGTGGTGAGACAGTTTGGGTGTGAGAGAGTTTGAATATCATTTCGTCCAACAGAGGAAGCGCAGAAAACAATATTGTTTCCCTCCCAAAACTTTTATCACTTTTAGCGACTAAATCAATTTTTTGTCGGCAAATGAAATATATATGCCGACTATTCTATTTTGTAGCTGAAGACAAATTAACGACAAATAAAATTTTTGTAGCCCAAAGTATTTTTGGTGACCAAAAATAATTTTGGTCAGCAAAAGAGGCGCAAAGTACAATAAGGGGGAGATGAACTAGTTACTGTTTGGAATAGTTATTGTTTGGGATTTTTAAAAATAATTTTTTCAGTTCTCAATTGTATTTTTATATTTTTAGTAATTTTTTAAAATATTTTAATCAATTTTTTTAACTTTTTAAATCTGTTTAATCTTGATATATTAAAAAGTATAAAATTTATACAAAAATCTTTAAAAAAATTTATTGAATACAATAAAATACGAAAATGTATTAAAATTTATTTTTTTTAATATTCTTTGTATTTGTTGAATTTTTTTTTAAAAAGTTTCACAGATATTATATTTTTTAAGCATATTTAGATAAAGTGTATCTAAAAAATAAATATTTATAAAATTCACTAAAAAAACAAAAGAATATATATTAAAAAAAAAAATTTGTAGTACAGGAAAAAAAAAATCAACCAAATGGCCAACGGCTAAAAAAAAAGGGCATCAAGATGATAAAGAGTTTTTTTTTTGAGTAGGATAAGAGTTGTTAAAAAAATAAAATTAAATAAATAAATAAATTATTTATAAGATAAGGGAAAAACATCTATATATACAATAATGCTATATGTAAACTATAAAAGTGTACAAATAAACTCCTTAATTATAAAAATGTATCAATTGAACCCCCTAATAAAAAGGGTTAAAGTGAAACATATCAATAGTTTAGGGGATTTATTTATATATTTTTATAGTTTAGGGGCAAAGTAATGCTTCTCAATAATTTAAGAGGTCTATTTATATGTTTGTATAATTTAAGGAATCAAAATAATATTTTTTTTTATAGTTTAAGAGATCTGTATGTAAATACTTACTTAAAAAAAAAAAGGTCAAAGATTATTGCATACCCTAAACAAATCTGCATAAATATGACCCACCATTCTCTAATATTCAGCCACGCTTGGAAGTGTTGATTTCAGTGGAAAAGTTAAAAAAAGTATTAGAAAGTTTAAAAATTTTATGTGTTTGGTTCTGTATTTGGTTCTTTGTGTGCGTATCATTACTATTATTTTTTTGTACCTTACATTTTAATCAATAAGTTACTAAAAAAACCGTTTCCCAAATGGGCCTTGTAAAAGCATGACTCTTCTACAGGTTTAATCCTAAGGAGAGATCATAAGCTCAATTCTCCGTAAAGGGAGTTGAATTAGGAGAAAAACACAAGAATTGGGAGATGAACTCTTATAAATGTCAATCAACCTAATAAAATTATCTTCCGATAGAAACTCCTATATAAAAGAAAACAAGTGAAACAAAATAAAGAATACATTATACTGACCTTTTTGAGATTAAAATTTAAAAAAAAAAATCTACAAATTTAACATAATTATATTGAGGGCTTTTTTTGATAAGTTAAACCAAATGAAATTAATGCAAAAATTAGAGTAAATAAGAAGGAATCTTTAACTCTTTTTTTTATATGAGTTAAAATTCTTTTAAGTTGTTTACTTTTTGAATGACTTTGACTATTGTTTTTACTAAAATAGCCCGTTGTCAAGCAGATTCTAACTTCTAAGTATATTTTTTAAAACAAATTATTTATTTTTAAATAAATAAATATAATAAGAATAAAATCAACTATTTAAACCACTGGAATAAGATTTGTGATGAGCTCTGTGGGCTCAATTGCACGTTCAATCCACATGAAAATGGATTCCACATAAGCTTGTTTCATGTGAATATAATTGATTTTTTTAATAGGAAATATAAAAAAATAAAAATAAAAATAAAAAGTTGTTTAACCTTTATCCCATAAATTTTTTTTTTTTTTCAGCCTTAAGTTATCACTTTCATTTATTTATTTATTATAATTTTTATGTCAACTTATGTGGTACAATTGAAGACAACTATCTAAATTAATATCTTTTAAAACTTAATTTTATGAACAAAAAAGTCCTTGTAAAATTTGAACAATACTTAAATGATAGTAGGTAAAGGGGGAAAGGGGGAGGATTATAGGACTTGGTAAAATTCAAATATAAGGATTCGTACTTCCCAGTTAATGAGGATGAGATAAATTACATTTCACTTTAATTTTCGTAATTTCAATTAGAACTATTTTGACCTCATACTTTCAATTTTAGTGCAATGTGATCAATTCATTATGTGTTGTTAACATTTTTGAAAGGGAAAATATCACATAAGGGTGCAACTTAGGCGGGCTCAACCCAACCAACCTGAACCCAGCTCGAATTTTTTTAGGGCTTTGACAAGATATTTTCAAATTCGGAACGGATTTGGGCAAAAATTCATAAGCCTAAATTAAATTTGGCCGAGCTTGGGTAATAATGTCAAACAACCCGAGCAACCCGAAACTCGAATTATAAATATATAGATATATAAAAATATTAAATATACATATAAATTATTAGTCATTACATGATATTAAAGTAATTTAGATTATTAAATCATATTGAATATATATTTTCTATACAAATAATATAAAATCTTACTTTTATTTATTTTCACTCATAAATTGTCAGGACAACTATAACTACATCTCTCTTACATTATATATATTATTTGTTTTGATGGTATTAATGATTTTTTATAAATAAATGAAAATGTAAATAGAGTTGTTGTTTGTTATGGTTTGGGTTGAAAACAAAATACATATATAATTAATAACAATTAGCGATTAAATATTTTAGCTGCCAATTCATTTTTTAATCCCTCCAAAATTTGAAATCTCCCTCCAAATATTTTAGTTTTTTGGCGACTAAAATATTCTTTTGTCGCTGAAAATATACTTTGGTCGCCAAAGATAAAAAATAATTTATTTTTTTTCTTTTCATTTGGCTACTAAACAATTTTAGTAGCTAAAACTAAATATACGGTTACTAAAATATTCTTTTGTCGCTGGAAATATACTTTTGGCGACCAAACTTTTGGTCGCCGAAGATAAAAAATAATTTTTTTCTTTTCATTCAGTTACTAAACAATTTTAGTAGCTAAAACTAACTATAAGGGTACTAAAATATTCTTCTGTCGCTGAAAATATACTTTTGGCGACCAAAATTTTGGTCACCAAAAGATAAAAAATAATTTTTTCTTTTCATTCAGCTACTAAACAATTTTAGTAGCCAAAACTAGCTATACGACTACTAAAATTTTTTTAGTCGCCAATCGTAATATTTTTAGCAACTAAATTTTTTTTTAGTAGCCAATAATCAATATTCCCCAACTAAAAAAAATTAGTAGCTAAATATTTGACTTTTGCCGACAAATATTATTTTTAGTCGCCAATTCCACAACTTTTGGCGACTAAATTTTTTTTAGTCGCCAAAAATGGTCGCCAAAAGTGCATTTTGTTGTTGTGCAAATTCATGCATGACTCACTCGAATATGCAGAAACATTCCCAATTACATATATTTAAAGTTAATTCCATGATTTTAATTCAAATTTAAACCTTGGATTTCATGTTTACAAATCATCTTTCAATTCTTTCTTTGTTTAATGAAACTTAAAATTAAATCTATAAAGCCCTTTCAAAAATATTTACATGTATGAAATTTAAATCAAAATCAAACTAGTTTTTGATTCTCAAATATAAATTATAATTTATTTTCATATTTGTCCAAATTTAAATTTCATTCATTTTCTTCATATAAAGCCTAATTTCAAACCCACAAATTCTAAAACATGAATTGATCTTCCAAAACTTTTAAAAATTCACGGTGTATGTACAATTGAAACTCAATTTCATGTTAAGACAACTAAATTCAAACCCAAAGTAATTAATTTCTAATTTAACTTCATAAACTTGATCTTGGCTCTAATTCTTCATTTTCTTGTCAATTTCCTATTGAATATGTGCAATTCAAATAAAACTAACTAATTTAATATATTCTAAAATTTGTTTAAATTAAATAAAGCTCTTAAATTACATTACATGCATGGGTTAATAATCAAAATCAAAACCCATATTTTCATGAACTCATGGTTTCCAAACTTTTCTTCAAAATCAAATGTATAATAAATTTGCAAGGCTCAAATCCCTTCAAAACACATGGTGCATGCAAATATACATCTCATATATACATATATCAAGGTTCACAAACCCAAGTTCAATTTGAAGAATTCCTACAATTATTTCCATATTTATTCTTTAATTCTTCCAAATTACATGCATATAAAAATGAGGCCCAAATTCATGCAAGATATTCAACATCAAACCAAAATAATTAATTTTCATGTTTATTTCCATAATGTTACACTTAACTCAATTTTTCTTCATCTTCTTGCTAATTCTTTTTAATTACACGTTATTGAATCTAAAACTTTCTTAATTCGTGAATATAACTTCAAAACTCTCTTAATTTCAGGGTGTAGGGAGATTAATCTTTTAAATTAAACTTAGAATCCTTACCTATAATTTTGAGTTTGCAGAATTTCTTGAGCTCCTCTTACAATTGTTCTTCTTTCTTCCAATCTTTCATCCAAATATGGGTTTCTCTTTCTACACTCTTTGAGCTCTCTCTCTCTTTCTAAGCTCAAGCCAAACCCTCTCTTTTTGACAAAAGAAAACTCAGCACAAGACACATATACACACACTCTCACTTCTTGTAACACATGCACACACTTGCACATTTGTTTGAGCTCCAACACAACACTCACATGCACACACACAGATTTCTCTGCACACACACATATTTCCCAGCACACACACACACCCACATATCCTCAAATTCTAAATCATTCTATAATTTAATTTATGGTTAAGATTAATTTAATTAAATAACAATTATTCTTAAAATCTTGATTAACAC